CTTTCTCTCTCTTTCTCTCTCTCTCTCTTTCTCTCATTTTCTCTCTTTCTCTTTGTCTTGCCCCTTTCACACCGATTTGTCAACATTTTTCCCAGCTAATCGTCATTCACTACCGAACGAACGAACGAACGAATGTACGTACTCGCTTCGGTCCCCCGACGTGCCTCCAGTCTACTTTTTTTTCTTTTTCCCCTATACTTTAAAAGTGATTTACCTAAATATGTGCGAACAGTCACATTCTCATGTGCACTACATTTGCGTATATATATTTATATATATATATAATATGTATATATATATGTATATATATAATATGTATATATTACTTCGCAGTAGGTACTCTCTGTTTTTTTTTCTTTTTTTTTTCTTTAACGAATACAATCGCTCTGTATAAAACTCGTATTTACAAGATGATCGATTTGTATAGTATTAATAGGTTTCCTCTCTTTCTCCCTTTTCTCCTTATTTTTTCTGTTTTTTCTTTTTTACGTTTTGGTTTTACCCCCCGACCCCCTTGTTTCGTCTTGTTTGATCGCCGAGATAGCTGCGCGCGTCGATGGTGCTCACCGGTAATTAAACGATATCGTTTTGTCTTTGGTAATATAATTACGCGGTAATAATTATCTATATATATATATATATACGTAGGTGACCGTCGATAACGCGAGTCTTGTAATAATAATAATAATAATAATAGTAATCATAGCAATAATAACCATAGGAATAATAATAATTGACCGTGGTCGGTTCGGAGGAACTGGCGCGCGTTTTTCAAGGCACGTATCAACACGTGCGTCAGCTTGTTCGTGATACAAGCGTGCTCGTCGATGACGTTATACCGCGAATCATGCTATCATTGATTTTCTTTCCATTTTCTAATTTACTTCTCTTTTTCTTTTTCTCTCTCAATATTTCTTCACCGATCTACGCGTCGCGCTGTCGAAGAAGAGAAACGCCAAGTTCGCCTCGAAGTGTCGTCGTTTCGATTACTTGGTCGCGAATCGATGTGTCGCTTGCCAATCGTTGTTCTAATCGCGTTTTCGGCGTACTCGATTTTCTCGAGAATGCTCGAGAACCAGACAGCGAGAGAAACGTTGCTCGAATGAGCAATCGTAAATATCCGTGTACGCGTGCGAGTGTATGCGCGGGTATGTAGACACATACGTAGCAGATACGAGTTACATCCTACACGCGATTTCTCTATTTTTACCACTTGGAACTATCGCGTTTCCGTTCTTGCGGCCGCGCGCGCGCGTTCGCTTTCCGTCGAAACGTATCGAATAAGCTTACGTATATATACGCGTGATCATTTCGCATAGAAATGGACAGGAAATGTTCGTTCAGCGAAGACCATTCCCACGATTCTCCTCTGTATATTACAGTTTCGTTTTCGGCGTATACCGTGCGCTATCGGATTATCGTCTAATTTGCATCGTTCGTCGCGAGAGAAACGAAAGAAAAGCGGAGAAAACGAGAAAATAGGAAAGAAAAGAAAAGGAATAAAAACGAAGTGTTATATATCGAGAAGGTCCTTTCTTCGTCCTGGCGGTATAATTCGCTTACAGCTCAGCCTAACTACCTATCATAGTTTGCCAGCTACGGAAGAGCTCCTTACCCTCGTCACTTTCGGGGGGACGTGCCAGTTCCTCGTGCACACGCGCACACACGGCTCATAGATTTAACGTAAACAATAGGCACACGTATATAACGTACATACGTACAAACACGTGGGTATGCATGAATGCATACGCGATATACGTATGAATAAATGCATATAGACACTATAGAATATATCACAACGATAAAACGCTAGTTCCTTTCCCTTTCTTTCTCGCTATAATAGAGACTCCAAGTAGATAACAGATGTACAATTATATATAAATTGCATAATAATGCTTCCGGTGGGGCGGACGTGGAAGTATCGTCGATATACTTACAATTATATCATAATACGTGCAGAACGAAGAGACGAACGAGGGTTAAGAATGTTAATTTACGTCCCGTCCCACCTCGCCGTCGGGATCGATTGCCCCTTTTGCTTCGTCCCCCGGTGCGTGTTTCTCTCCCTCGTTCCTCGCGAATCGACCCAGATCGAAAAGAGTCGCGGTGCATGACCGATCTCGACCGATTTCACCGAATTCACGATCGATCAAATAATAATAAGCGAACGCGTGCTGTAACGCGTCGATAACGACGCAACGACGACGGGGTTAATTAAGGGGCATTCGTTATCTTGTCGTTCCGCGGGTTCTCGGGGGGGGTGCAACGGGACGGTCAAACACGAACTTCCCTCGGCCACTTCTTCCGTATATTCGAGGGGGATGGCGACCAAGGAGGTCCTCGAGCAAGATTACCTACTTTTATAAAGAATTCTCGCAGAGTACCAAGGCAAGAAGCTCCTTATTAAATGCACAATGAGCAAGAGCGTCTGGCAAACGGACTGTTTGGCGATTGTAGAGAAGAGCGGCGGAGAGCGCTCGGAAAAAGAAGGAAAGAGGGACCGAGAGACAGCGGCAGAGAGAAAGAGAGAGAGAGAGAGAGAGAGAGACAGACAAACAGACAGACAGACAGAGAGAGAGAGAGAGAGAGAGAGAAGGACAGAGGGTGGTGGAGGGTGGGTTGGGCGTGTCAGCTGGTCGATATCCTGAATGGCAAGCTTCCACGACCCAGTCTGCAGCCAGCAACCGCGTTGGAAGAGACAGAAGAGACACAGAGAAAGAGGGATGAGGGGGTGGAATGAAAAGACAGACAGAGGGAGAGGGTGCGAGAGAGCGACAGAGACAGGAACGGAGAAGGAGTCGGGGAAGAAAGAGAGAACGAGAGACGCGTGTACGTTCGTATGCGTGTATGCACGAGGGGGAATCAAGAAGATGTCTCGTTCGTGTGCGTGACGACGGTATTCACGGCGCGGTGTGGCCCGCGTACGTGAACGCCTGGTCGCGCACACGCACACGCGCGTACAGAAACGGTGGATGGAAAAACGCGAGCAGGCAGCATGGAGTATCCAAAAGACGGAAGTAGAACGGCATACAATTGGCGTTAATTAACTCGGCAAAAACGTACCGACGGAACAGCTACCGGGGAAGACGAAGGGCCTCTCCACGGAAGGACCGCACCGCGGTGTACGTGTGTTCGACGGTAAAACTAATCCACGCGCGAGGATAAATGCGATCGCGGCTCGTTTTCTCGCGTACGCTTTATGCAACGCCGCCGCGCGAACCATCGCGACACCCGGCTTACCCTTACAATTTCGCTTGTTCTTTTGCTCGATAGGACGTAGGTCGGATTCGAATGGGAAACAAGGGCGCTTGCGGTTACGTTTAACCGCTGGGTATACGTAACTCGCCCGCCAAGTGATATACGACCGCGAAGAACCGTTAGAAGAAAGACGATTCAAGGGGTCGCGAATTTTTCCCGGATTTTCCCTTTTCTTTTTCCTCGAGATTCTCTTCCCGCTCTCTCGTTTCTCTTCCCTCCTGTCCTCTCCTCCGCTTTCTTCAGCGAGGACGTTTTTCGAATAGTTTCGCGAAAGCGTTTCTCTCTCTACGCTTGCGTGTCATTAAACAGAAGAAAGCTGGTTTGATTTCGTTTGATCGCGGTGCGCTTTTCTTCGTTCCTTTCCCCCCCCCCCCTTTTTTTCCCCCGTTTTCTTTTTCCTCTGCTTTCTGCGACGCTAAAACAACGGGAGGGTAAAAGCTCGCGCCTCCGATTTCGACTACTCCTTGGCTCGCCTTTCTCCGCCTCGTGTTTGCAACTCGCTAGAATTGGAATAACTCTTACGTCCGACCTAATCATACGTCCCGGGAGTAGATCTCTACGTAAACATTTTCGCGACTACGCAGTAGTACGAGCTAAAAGGTTACTTCCCGTTGAGCCACGTACACGAACACGTACAGGGTCGCGCGCCGCGACGATTCCACGGAAGTTACACGATTCCGAGGGAGGATCGCGGTCATAGAAGTGACGGAAATATAAAAGTCGCTTCGTCCGACGAGTTCTATAAATGGTAAAAAAGTGGTATAAAATGAAACGGACACACATAACGTTCGTGGCAATAAAAAAGACATTCGAGAAAACAGCTCTACCTCGAAATGATGCGACTCGCGTCGAAATTGTTGCTCGCTCCGCTCGTCGATCGCGCGACGTCCACGCGGCCGCGTCTGCTCGATCGCGATCGATCCTCCTCTTCGCGCTCGATGCCAGCGGAGGAGGATCGATCGCAGTGTCCATCGCGAGGACGCCTCCAGGATCGATCGCCTCGTGTATTGTCGACGCGCGGATAATCGTGTACGTGTGTCTGCACGTAATTACCTAATATGCGTGCGCGTACGTACGCGACGTATGTCTCTTTGCATACGCGGATACTTAGAACGTACTTACTTAACGGATTAAGTCGCACCAGTCTCCGGTAGTGAACCGTTTTTGTCTTCGTTCGAAATAAAAACCTTTCCTCCTCGATTCTCTGTTCTTTCGTGCGCTGGCGCTCGTAGAATACACACACACACACACACACACACACACATACGCGCGCGCGCACACATGCACTTACGCAGCCACGCATAGACACACGCATACACGCACGCTCATCCGCGCACTCGTATATACACTCACGTTCAGGCACATGCAAACGCACGCATACATGTACACGTTCGTGTATGCACGCATGCGGGAGACCCACGCACTCGAAGGCACACGCTCGTACACGTGGGACAGGCACGCAGATTCACGCGATTTTTCGTCGATCTGCTCGATCACATTTACACTCGAGCGCCATTCGAGCGCCATTCGAGCGACGATCGTTGAATTCTCGATCGAATCGTTCTTAGAAGTTCTCGTTTTCCGTTGGCCTCGTCTCGATTAGTCGGTCTCGAACTTGACGAGCTTTCTCCTTTGTGTTCTCCCTTACGTTTAGTTAATTATATACTATGTATATATATATATTTTTTAATATATATATATTTATTTATATGTATGTATATATGTATGTATATAATGGTGGCTAAATTGACAAGTGTTTATATCGAAGGTATTCTCTTCTTCCCTTTTAAAGATCTAGGTACCTAGACTGGCAATGTTTAAGGTATGCACGCTCGTGGATTCGCAGTTAGTTCGAATTTCTTTCCATCCGTTTGTTCTCATCCGTTTTTCGTTCTTTCTCTCTTTTCCTTTTCTCCATTCCTGCCAGCGTTCTCTCGCTTTTCTCCACTTTCCATCTCTCGCGCGTATCGTGGATAAATATACGCTCGCGTCGTCGTCGCGATCAAACCCGGGGACGAGATTGAGCGATGGAAATCGGCGTGCAACGATTTGGAATGTCGCGAAGTAGTAGTCACAGCGCATTTTAGTCGTCCGTCGTGTCTGACCAGCGACTGTCTCTACTGCCGCTACTCGACGAGGCACAGAGGCCTGGCTTCTTCCTTCGTATACCCCTTCGACGACGTCTTTGGTCTGACACTTTCCATCTGGTATCGAAACAGCGTTCACGGTTAGGTCAGCCATTAGCGGTCGCCAACCGAGAGACCTTCATCTTCGATCGTTCTCGCTACGATCTTTCTTGCTCTTCTTCGTGTGCCTATATATCGGTTCAGCTTGTACAGTTTATCTCTATCTCCCTTCGTATCGAAGTAATCACAGCGTTATTTTAGTCCGTCGCACTCCGGTGGGACATTGATTCTCAGTTTCGTGGATCAATCTCTTAGTCCCTTCTGCGAACAGGTCTCACCCCGTGGCCCACCCCTTGTTTCCAATACTTTCGTATCTGTCTTTAACCGCACGTTTCGTTCGCCGTACACGCGCGATCGTCGGATTCTCTTCGTTTATTTCGCCTCCTCGAGAAGCACCAGATCGTCCGCCACGACGTCGCTGATGTGCAGATAGATGATCCAATACATCAGGTTGAAACAGACGAAGCATACCGGAAACACGATGCGGGAATATTTATCGATATCCGATGGCGTCATACCTGGCAAGAAAAAGCAATCATTGCGTTACCTTGATTCGACTAGTCGGGATATAGTTTGTTCAACGAAAGCGTAGATGTATCTTTCTACCGGTAGATCTTACTTCTCGCCGGGGGGGACAATTTTACCATTGAACATTGATGGGAAAAGGCTTGAATTTCAATGACTCTCGAGCTATTTATTCTTCTGAATATCGCGATTCTTCTCGCGAAACGTGCACGGTTAATTTAACTTGTAAACTCCAAGTGGAATATTAGGTCTTACCGTAAAGCTTGCTGATATCCTTGCCAGGATGAATGAGATGTTGCGGCGCGGGCGCTGCCTCCTCGTCGGCTCGTCCATTTATAGTGTTTTCGAGCGTTCCTCCTTTGCTGTGTGCTTTCGGGTCGTGCACCTTGAACCGCACCTCCTGGACAACACGGGACCACTTACAAGAGACACGGCAGTTCGGCGTGGGGTGTCCTTTTTCGAGGAGAACCCCTTACTTTGGTAGATTGGCATGCGACATCGAGGATGGACAAACGCGTGTTCTACTAGTATCTCGTACGATTTTCCTCTCGCGATTTCGCGTTTACAGATCGAACTTCCCAGACGCATCGACTCGTCTTATCTCTGTATCGACTCTTTCGCGATTTTCGCGTTTGTTTACGTTCGATCGACGCTACGAAATGTAATTGAACTGAGCCGGAGCTACTACGAGGTGGCTTCCGCGTTAATGGGGGCTTCGTGTTCGCGTTTAATCACGTTTGAAAGCAGGAAACGGAGAGGAAGATACCGACAACGTCGTTTTGCTTTTATCTACGTGTCATTTTCATTAACGCTTCTCCCTCTTAGTCCCTTTGCCGCGCTATTTGTCTCTTTTTCCACCCGCAATCGTAAACCGGCCGATGAAATGAGCCGTGTGACACGAAGCGTTCTTGTTTATACCGCGGCGGGCCGTGTACAACGTGTCAAAGAACGAGTAATTAATCCAGTTCAGAATTAATTAAAACGCCTTATCCTGGTGACATTTTACGCGCGCACTGCAATGCCATCCATCCGTCGGCACCGCCTCCTTTCCAGCCTTCTTTCTGTCTCCCGTCTGTCCCGGCCCTCCCCCCCGAGCTCCCTTTAATATTTTTCGTTCTCGTTTCACAATCCCGGAGATTAAAAGAAAATTTATAGTGCATCGCATGTCCGGGCACGAACCGCGCCGACCGGCGCAACACGACCGAATGGGAATTCATTTCACAGAACCTTTTAGCTTTTGACCTTTCGCGGCTCACTCGGTTTTCGAGCGAGAAAAAAAACATTTCGTTTTTCTCTCCCTCTGTTTTTCTGCTAGACCACGGCGAAGATCGAATCGCGAATCATGCGTTATCGCCAACAACTTCGCGTTCGATCCGTGGTCGGGGGGGCCTGCTAGGTATCGTTCAGCTATGACGCTAGGCTGCATGAAACTCGCGGAAAAGTAGCAAAAAATAACGATGGTCTCGTGGATAAAATGCAATGTTGGACTAGCGAAAATAACGTGCTAGCTCTAACGTGATCACTACTGATGATGACGCTACTCTACTACGGCTAGAGACAGTCTTTCTCGTTCGAGCTACGTGACTAAAGGCGTAAACGCGTGGCAATGTCGACGGCAACTGAAACATTCTAATCGGAAAGAAAGACGAAAGGGGCGCGACAGGTTGGCCGATGTTACACTCACAGTTTGCTTAGGCGCGTGATCACCGTGATCACCTGGTACTCCGGGCGGTCCTGGATTCTCCCTCGCCGTCTTCATACTCTCTGCGATTTTTTGGAACCGGTTCTTCCTCATTTGAATCCTCTTTGCCATGTAGCCCACCGTCGCGTATTCTGCGAAGACAGAGAAACCCACGCAAATAATGAGTCGGAACAAACGAAACAACGATCGGCAAAGTTGTACGGCAACCTCGTTGTCTCGCTCGCTGAAAAAGCCGAAAGGAAAGCGACGCGCTCGGGAAGTTCGCGAATTTTCTTCCCTTTTGTCGTCTCCTCTGTCTTGGGAGGGACCATAGCGCGGATAGAATAGAATAGAATAGAATAGAATAGAATAGAATAGAATAGAATAGAATAGAAAGAGGATGGCGGATTGAACGATAGTACTCACCGAGCAACGAGGCAAACACCATGACGAAACACGTGCCCAGGTAAACATCGATGGACTTGACGTAGGAGATTTTCGGTAACGCCGCGTTCGTCGACGACATTAGGGTGGTCATGGTGAGCACAGTGGTTACTCCGAGGGCCACCCGAGCGGGGGTCGCGTTACGGTTCAGCCAAAAGCTCACCCACGAGATAATGACGATCAAGCCCGAGGGAATGTAGATTTGAATCAGGTAGTAGCCCATCGACCGTACGAACTGGATCTCGCAGGCCAGCCGCGAATAATTTCCTACGATTAAAAGATCGACAGTTAGGACAGGGGGACGGAGAGGCGCCATGAAATGTCTCTTTCCGTTCTTTACTCTTCGTTCCTTTTTTTTCCATGTCTCCCTTTCCACTCTGCCCCTTCCATTTTATACTTCCCTTCTTTACATCTATATCTCTCTCTTTCTCCAGCGGCCCCTTATCAATTTTCCTTCTCCTTTGCCTTCTCTACGCTTCTCATCGACTAGCGAAGGCCAGGAAAAGCGTTCTTCCCTCTTGTCATTTCTTTCTCTCTTTCTCTCTCTCTCTCTCTTTCTCTCTTTTTCCCTCTCGACGTTTCCCTTGTCTGCATCGGACGGGTACGCGTTGCACGATGGCTGGCAAGATGTTAAGCAAAGTTTCGTGGCGTTGATGGATCTCGTGCGTGAGTCGTCTACTGGAGAACGTGTAGACTCGAGGAGAAGAGGTCTACGCGAGGTCGATAGCGTGGCAGGAGAGACGGGACGAGGAATCGGCGTGGATAGAAAATCGAGTTGCTGCTTGCTTCTTTTCGCGGAACGAGCTTCCGGTGGTTTATAGCTCTCTCTTTCTCACTCTGGTCCCCTTTGCTCCG